CAGTCTCAATTATTTTTCCTTACATCGTATTTTATTTTAACTCATTACAGATATATTGTATTACTAATCCAAATTCTAGAAGTCTGAAAATGTCTTCAGAACAAATATTTAACTTATTGCTAATTAAGCATTTTTTAGAAAATGTATCTACTTTGAAATGAAACACAGTCACTGAAATAGTTTTTAGAGGCAGTAAAGTGAAGTAGTTAAATATTTATCATAAGAGCCTATCAGAGTTTAAATTCTGATTCTGCTACTTCCTAGCGACTGCATGTGACTTTGGATAAGTTACTTAGCTGTCTCTCCTCAGTCTTCTAAACATCAAAAGCAATGATTTCATATGATTGTTGGATTAATTAAAATAATTCATGCATGTCAAAATCTCAGATGGTGAGTGACTCATAGCGATTGTGATGGTCTGAATGTTTATGTTCTGTGCAAATTTGTATGTTGAAACCCTTACTCCTAAGATGATTATATTAAGAGTTGGGGCTTTGGGGAGGTGATTAGGTTATAAGATCAGGGCCCTTTAGTTTGGATTAGTGTCCTTATAAAAGAGAGATAAAAATGTTGACTAGTTCCTCCCACCATGTGAAGGCAGAATGAAAAGACTACTTCCATGGAGAGGGAGATGGACTCTCATCAGATACAGAATCGGCTGGCAGCTTGATCTTGGACTTTGCAGCCTCCAGAACTGTGAATAATGCATTCCCATTGTTTTTATGCTACCCAGTTTGTGATATTTTGCTATAGCTGCCTGAATTGACTAATAGAGCAAGCTATTCAATACATGCCACATCCAGACACTTTTCAGTGCTTCTAACCCACAACCATGAATTGACTGCATAAAATATCTCTGACATGTCATTTACCTGCTCAAAAATATTACATGGTCCTCCATTGCATACATAAAAAAGTTAAATAGCATCCAAATGTTGACCTCATCTAACTTTATGTTTTTTCTTTTACTTTATATCTATTGAAGTTCCATCCTCCTTTAAAACCCAGCTCATATTTTATCCGCTGTTGATGTCTTCCTAGATCACCTAAATCAGACTTATTCTCTCTCCCTCCCCCATATTCCCATAATACAATGGTGAAACTCTTAAACACAGCATGCCTTGGAGTTATTTGTGTATTCTGTGTCCCATTTGATAGATTATGACCTCCAGGAGGGCAGGGCCTGCATTTTTTCAACTGTGTATCCCTCATAGTACCCAGCAGAGAATTTTACACTTAGTAGATACTCAATAAATGATTGTAAACTTGGCTGAACCCACATAATTTTTTTTCTTTGTGGCAGATGCCCCAAGAAAAAACATAAAATAAATGAATTACTTTCCTTCTTTCCATTGCAATATATATGCCCTGGGCTAGTGGGTGTTTGCAAGCCTGGTTTAGAATGTAGGGAAGTCATCAATCTAGGAAAGGAGAGGAAATGCATTTTAAATCACAAGAGCAATATAGCCTTATATAAGGCCTTCTAGCAAAGCAATTATCGATGGCTCAATAACCCAGGTGCTAGTGTTATTATGAACGAAAGTCTGAAGTTGAGAGACAATGAATGATCTTAACTTTTATATTCCATAGGTATGCAATTCAATGAAACATGTACAGATGGAAAGTTTAGATCTGAGAATCATATGTGGGTATCATAATGCAAATAATTGGCTTTCTTTTTCAAAGAACATCTGTTGAAACATCTGAAAGCAGTTGTTTATACTACTGCCAAAATGCTGAAAAATGTAATAATTCTCCAGTGAGGTTAGAAATATCCAGGGGAAGAAAAATACTTTTTATGCAGCTCTGTTTTTATTAAATTTTGTTGTTGTTTCTCTAATATGGCACATAGGAGATACTCAACAATATTTGTTGAATGAATGTTGAATGAATAGCAGAAACTCATTAAACAGTTGGATGAATCATTTCTTTTTTTTAGACTTATAAGATATATTTCCAGCAAATAGTATGTCCAAATTTTACCACATTTTATACCACTTTTTTTTTTTTTTTTTTTAGTTGGAGTCTCACTCTGTCTCCTAGACTGGAGTACTGTGGCACACTCCCGGCCACTGCAGCCTCGACCTGCTGGGCTTAGGTGATCCTTCCACCTCAGCCTTCCATGTAGCCGTAACTACAGGTGTGCACTACCACGCCTGGCTAATTTTTGATTTATTGTAGAGACCAGGTCTCACCAAGTTGCCCGGACAGGTCTCGAACCCGCAAGCTCAGGCAATCCACTCGCCTTGTCCTCCCAAATTGCTGGGATTACAGGTTGAGCCACCGAACCTGGCCTATTTTATACCATTTTTATCTGGCATAAATATAAGTAATAGTACTCTGGCTCTGGACATAATATGATGTAATCAGCAGGTATAAGAAAATATGTCTTAACACTATAGACAATGTATAAATAAAGCTAACTATCTTTTAAATAATCAAAGATAACATTTAATTATCTTAATTAAACTTACAACTCTTATAATTTGAATTGTGAGCTCACCTAATCATGTTTACTCCAACAAACAAAATAAGGTTTAAAATTCCTGCTAAGTCTATATTTGCAATACCCCTAAAAATATTCTAATTTGTGATTTAAAACACCAAAATAATCTGGAATGTGAAGAGGAAGTCTACAGAAGATGTTATTTCTTCCCATACTCCCTTTCTTCAATTTCCAACAACTCTCTCCTCCATACTCCTGTGTAAGTGAGGCAACTGGGCTCCCCAAAGGCTGCCCAAGTTTTACTTTGCCAAGTTTCAGTACTGAAAGAGCATGTTAAATAATAAATGTGAATTTGAGTGTAACTAATAAAATTGGAATGTTAAATAGCAGCATGCTTTTGAAAACCAGCCTCCTTGTGAGAATGCTCCCTGTGCGAATCCATGGGAAATAATTCTGAAGGGAGTGATATTAATTAGTGATATAATTTATCTTCTGGAAACCCTTCCCTTTGATGACTGCCATGGTAAAGTTTATAAGCCTCCAATCACGTGCTCAAAGAATGATTCAAACCACTATTTCAGCTTTGTTTTCCATCCTTGAACAGATAAAAGAGTCAAAATAATTTTGGCATATCAAAATTTTACCCATACATTGTATGATTATGTGTATATGTATGATTACGAAGTTATAAAAATACATTTATTAAGAATTTTCAACCAAATGATAAAATGCTTGTGATGTAATGAGAGGAGAAAAAGCAGAATACAAAATTAAATCCATGGCTTCTGAGTCCAGATTTCAGTTCTCATTGACATGCACTAGATATGCAACCTTGGCAAGATTCTTTTTCTTTTTTTTTTTTGAGTTGGAGTCTCACTCTGTCGCCCAGATTGGAGTGCAGTGGCATGCTCCCAGCCACCGCGGCCTCGACCTGCTGGGCTTCCGCCGTCCTTCCACCTCAGCCATCCAAGTAGCTGGAACTACAGGCGCGTGCTACCACGCCCATCTAATTTTTTGATTTATCGTAGAGATGAGGTCTCACCAAGTTGCTCGGGCGGGTCTCAAACCCGCGGGCTCAGACAATCCACTCATCTCGCCCTCCCAAAGCTCGGGATTACAGGCTGCGCCACCGAGCCCAGCTTGGCAAGATTCTTCATTGTTCAGTGGCTCATTTTTCACAACGAGCCTATGAGGGTAACAGTAGAAATCATCTCAAATAGAAATAGTGCTCAGAATCATGCCTGGCAAATAATAACAAATTATTATTATTTATTCACAATTTCAAATTTATACAGGAAAAAATGAAGACTAAAGAGGGTTTGCTGGAAAGCAATAGCTAAAATATTGCTATTATTTGTATATAAATGACATGCTTATAGGCAATTATTTTGTTTCATATATATTTGTCTGTATACTTTTAAAAGAAAGTTTAAAAGTTAAGTTTCATGCATACATAGCTTGATGAAAATTAAAGTGGAAATTGGGAAGAGGTTAGAATTTATAACCAATTAAACTACAGCATTACTGAAATATTAATTAAGCCTATTGTGATGTGACAGAATTAACATTTAACTTATTTTACTTGATTCTAAATATATTCCAATTAGAAAATTATTTTTAGTTTAACCAATGTCAATTTTACATTCAGAAATAAAGTCAAATGTTTAGTATAATATCAATATTTCAACCTACTAAGACGAAAAACTTTTAATTTTTGATTTAAAAAAATCCCACGCAAAAGTCCCAAAGGTGCCTTTCATGTTTAAGCTTTAATTAGCAACCACTTTGGTCTCTGACACATATTGCACAGATATTGAAGTGTTAATATTACTGCAGCTTGATTACAAAAGGCAATGATTAATTTTAAAGCAGACAAAAAAGATAAGCCCTGATTACAAAGGAATGATTAAGGCGGAATGTCAGACACTGTACATTTATAGCAGCCTTTGCCATCGTCAAAGGATAAGACTTTGCAAAAGTTTATATTTAGAATCACAAGTACTTTGTACTTTATGATACTGGGCGTGTGAGCCTTGGGGACTGAGCGCCCGGCCTCCCGTCAGGCCTAAGGCCTCGGGGGTCACGTGGCCCACAACAAACCACCCCCGGCGCGGGAGGGGCCCGCCGAGTCGCCGTAGCTCGGGTTCTCACCAGGCCGGCTCGACCTGAGGTGGGCGTCGAAAGTAGGCTTGGGGGGGGGTCTCTGGCCCGCGCTTTTGTTAGCAAGTTACTTTTCGCGGCGAGATAGGTTGCTTTGAGGACCTTATCCCTAAAAGGAGCGGGGCTTGGGATTCGAAGGCTGACCCCGGCGAGGCCTCTCAAAAGCGAAGGCCCTGAACCTCCATCTTTATTTGCCACCAGAGCGGAAAACAAAGCTGGTGAAGGGAAGAGGTCTGGCCAGGAGAAGGGTGTTCCACCAGGGACAAGGCCGAGCTTGAAACTCTCCTCCCTGGGTGTGAGGGAGAAAAGCCGGGTTTGTAAGTTGTCAGTGTGGAAACAAAGGCCGGGGCCGGAGTGGGCAGCTTCGCCTGCATCCCCTCTTGCGTCCTCCGTGTGGGCAGGAGACAGGGAGTTGGAGACAGGCCGGTCTGGGGATAGTTCTAGAAGAATCCTTCTTCTTTATTGTGCTTTCCAGGATCTTCAGTCTTAGTTATAAAATATTTAACGGCGAGAAAAGGATCTGCGGGTTCCCGGGCCAGAGATGAGCTTGGAGTCCCTGTTTCAGCACATCATCTTCACCGAGCACCAGGCCGAGGAGGGCCGCCGTTTGTTGCGAGAAGGTCAGGTTTCTGTCCTTTGCATGGGGTCTCCTGGAGCTGGATGCTCGGAGTAGAAGGAAATCCCACAGGCAGTGGTTAGAGCAGTTTGGAGAGCTTGCTTTCCGTCTGCGGAAAGGCAGCTCAGAGGTGTCTTCGCAAATGCTATTGAAATGGAGACTTGAGAAAGATTGACGTGTTTCAAGATTTCATTTGTATTACAGTAAGGTCGGAAATTACCAGATGTCGTGAAAAAATTAAGAAAGCAACACAGGAGCTGAACGAAGAGAAAAACAAGTTGGAATCGAAGGTATTGACATGTAGAGCATGCTCATTGTCACTTGTAAAAGTCTGTCTTAACTTGACTTTTGGGGGATGTTTCACTGTTTAACCAGTTGTCCTTCAAGTAGGGAGCACACTGCTTCTATGCTGGCTAGTATAGTTCCCATGTTGTTTGGTAGTATTTAAAGTTCTGAATCCAGGGACATCTACAGTTGTAACATGAATTTGTCCTAACTAGAAACAAGTTAAAATAATGGAGAATTCCATGTTCAATTTATGGGATGGTTAAGGTTTTTATAAGAGCACAGTGTTACTGGAAGAATAATTATTCTACCTAGTCAATGGGTAGTTGGTACAATATATACATTTTGCATAATAAATAAGTCTGCTATGTTGGTGTAGTGACTGAATGTAACTTACCCATGTTTTTTCAGTGCTCTATCACATTTGGATGTGTCTTTCATCTGAAAATATACTTTTTCCACTAGTGTTTCTTTTTTTCCAACATTTTAAAAGTTCTTTTATTTTATTTTAAATAGAAGTAAGAGAGTCTGATGGCTTCTTGAAGGAGGATTTTTAAAGGATGGGTGGAATTTTGGAGAGGTAAAGAGAAGCAGTAGGAAAAAAACATTCCAGATTGAGGGAGGAGGCAGATAAGATATGCCCAAGGCATAATTGGGAGAGGAATCTAGTCAAAGCTGAAGGCTGATATCTGGGAATAGCAGGAAACCATTGCAGGTTTTTGATCCAAGAGCTGAGTGATAAAAGTGATTTTAGGAAGATCTCTGAGGTCTGATTGGGAGTATGGGAACAGACAGGAAGCCAGGAACATCATTTGTGTCACAATGAAGGCCTTGCTGTGGGTGGAGGCCGAAAGTTGTTCAAAAATGTTTATTCACCACCTAACAATGAACTAAACAGCAGTGTGCAATGGAAAGTCTGTTTGGGAAGTCTGTTTGCTTCAAATTTATCTATTTTAACTTAACTGTGAGGAATTTTAGTTTTCTTTGTGAATAAAATAATCATATAACCCCTCTCTGTCTTGTGAGCTTAACTCTTTCCAAGTGTTGCTCAAACATCACCTATAAAGCCCTCCATGTACAACTTGGTGAAATGTTTTAATTAAACAACACGTCCTTGTGCTTGTATCCCCTGCTATTTTGTGGGCAAGAAATCTGGATTTTTTCCCTTATTTTTATTCTCACTGCCTGTATCCGATACTTAGTATATAGTATACATTAGTGTGTTGAATGAATTAATGAGTACTAATAGTATGTTAGATAAGAGGGAGTCACTTAAAATAGAATTTGGAACTGTTATTCACTGAAACCCTAGTTCCTAGTTTTGCCTGTGAGTAGTAGGTAAACCAGCTGCTACCAACAATGCTAAAAGCTGGTGGGATGGACAAATCATTAAGAATGTCATGATGAGCCGGGCTCGGTGACTCAGCCTGTAATCCCAGCACTTTGGGAGGCTGAGGTAAGTGGATTACCTGAGCCCGCGGGTTCGAGACCCACCTGGGCAGCGAGACCTCATCTCTACAATAAATCAAAAAATCAGCCGGGCGTGGTAGCGTGCGCCTGCAACTCCAGCTACTTGGAAGGCTGAGGTGGAAGGATCGCCGGAGCCCAGCAGGTAGAGGCTGCGGTGGCCGGGAGCGGCCACTGCACTCCAGTCTGGGCGACAGAGTAAGACTTCAACTCAAAAAAAAAAAAAAAAAAAAAAGGAATGTCATGATGTAGCTTTCTTTTTCTTGAAAAAGAATTAAGATATTTTTAGAATTGGCCACTAGAAGCTAAAAATAATAGGCAAAATATGAGCACTTATTATGTGCTAGGCATTGCTCTAAATGCTTCACCTGTACTAACTCCTTTAATGCTAACAGAAAGCCTGTAATAAGACACCACCATTATTGCCTCTTTATAGGTGAAGAACTGGAAAGTTGAGTGACTTGTCTATGATACATAATTTAAAAGCAATTAAGCTACCATAATGAAACTAACCATTAAGTAATGACAACATATTTTATTAAAGCAGATTTCTTGAATCCAATTTAAACTTTTTTTCCTCATAAAATTCATGTATAATAATGTTTCTGAAGTATTGCATCATGATTAGGGTAATATTTTTAAAAGGTCACTTATGTAAGTTTTTATACAAAATGAATTTTTTTTCTGGATTGGTGTACATATTGACATGGCAGATAATTTTTAAAATATTAATCTCTGTAATATTTTCTTTGTTAGTAGCCAGTTTTGCCTGAAAATGAAAATGAAATGTGTTTATATATACAGATACATTAAAAAACATTGACTCAGTTGCTTGTACTAGAGAGGAGAGACCAAATCCCTAACATTGTTTAGAAACATTTGCTGAAATTACTAATTAATATAGACTCATAAGTGCACATTGCTTTTTAATCAGCTCATATACATGGTAATAATACATTTGTTTCTCACTAATAAAATTAACATATGAGGTTCACAGTTCATACAATACTAATTTGTAATTGGAATAATTTGATTTATAATTATAGTCAAGATGGCGTGTGTGTGTGTGTGTGTGTATAAAGATTTTACAAGTGGAACTACAATTACAATGTTAATGACTAATAGGAAGAACTGAAGAAGTAATCATAAATTGATTTCTTGTTTCTTTTATGCTGACTTAATTGTATGTCTGCCAATAACAATGAATATATATTTACTTGAATATTTGACTTGGCATTTATTGACTCATTTGTCAAGTGGAAGCAGCATAAGGAGAAACTGGAACATAATTTGAATAGAGCAGTGCTTGAGTTATTTGTTATATAGTGATACATTCAGAAAACATTTTGGGTATTTATTTTGGAGGTTTCTTGTGGTCAAAAAATGTATTTAAGAAGTACAGTATTCATTTTTTTTCTGTTCTGTAAAACCCAGGTAGCATGTAATTAGAACTTGAATGATAGCATTTGCCTTTCAGGGCTCGATGAGTCCTTTAAAATATATGGTTGCAAAAGTCTCAGATTATATAGTATGAGTACTTTGTGAATTGGACTTCTACAGTATGCCTGGTTAGGTTTGGTAATATGAAAACAGAAAGATGAGAACATGCCCTGTATTTGCATGAATGCTTACCAATATATCTAAAGCTTCTGATAGTCAAGGAAAGGTTTCATAGTACTGATGATAGGGCAGACCAAAATTAAGGATTCACAAAACATTTGTAGTTTCTTCCAAGCATCTAAAAGAGATTCTTCTATTTTTAAAAAAATGGCATGTAATTAAAATTTGGGTGTTCAATTTTTATAAACATATTACATAAAACCTAGTATAATGTCATAGTCCCTTAAGAGGAAGTAAATAGAAGAAAATCTGCAACTATTTGTGAGTATATTGTTTATTTTTTTATTCTTCTAATTGTAATTTATTCCAATATCATCATAACCATAATGAGAGACTATTCATGAATTTTTTAAAGGAAAATTATATTGAAATAAAAAAGTTACTTAAGGTGGCTTCATATACTTCTTTATTTCAAAATGTACATGTTCCTTTTTTTAAACTGGTAAAAATTAGGAACTCTCCCAGAACAGCAGGCAAAGTCATATCCTTTAGTACTATATTACCTAATTAGGGAAAGAACAAAATCACAAATTATTATCATTTGTAATATTGAAATGAAGTTTTGTAATTGGTTTTGTTTTCCTTTCCTTACATTTAGCAAAGAAAAATTTAGATACAACCTAAATTTAACTTTACTGTTGATTAAAATTTGCTTAAAAACATGGGTAAAAGAAGGACATTATTTCTCCTCTCTAATTAAAATTTTAAGAAATAGCATGTAAATTATTTACTCTTAATTTTAGAAAATAAAGTATGAATTCCTGTTATCAAAATATAATACATACTGTCTTTTCATTAATTGTGTCCAAGACAATCTTAGGGGTAATTATGCTTTGTTTCTTACAGTTTGTATGTCTTCATCACATGAAATTCCTTTGAGCCAGTTGGTTTAAAATGTTAAAGTACCTGAGGAAGTAGAAGGGGGATGGGATCTAGAGCATAAGAATTAGCCTTGGTGAAGAGGAAGAATACTTTTTGTGTCATAAAAACTAAAAAAATTTAGCCAGGCATGTTAGTGCATGCCTGTAGTTCTGGCTACTTGGAAGGCTGAGGCGAAAGGATTGCCGGAGCCCAGCAGGTCAGTGCTGGGGTGGACGTGAGCATACCACTGCGCTGCAGTCTGGGTGACAGAGTGAGACTCCAACTCAAAAATAATAATAAATAAAACTAAAAATAATAATCAATTTAGTAAGCAGTTTCTACATATTATACCTTGTGCTAAGCATTTTAAAAACATCACAATTAATTCTCACACGAACCCTATGAGGTTGGTATTATTGTTACACCCATCATATATTTGAGAAAACTGAGACTCAGATAAATGAAATAACTTGAATGAGGTCACATAAGTGGTAAGTAGTAGATCTAAGATTTGAATCTATATGGGTAGACTAAAGAACCCTTGCTTAACTGCTATACTGTAATGTAAGAGGAAGCAAGAAGGAAAGAATGAGAGAAGATGCAGGAAGGTTTGAAAATTTAGTGACAGGACATGGAAGACATACTTCATTAAAAATAGTCTCCTAGCTTTGTAATGTCAACAAATTTGATAAGTGAATGTTGAAATAGGATCCGAGCGCTTAATTCACAGACTTGAACACCAGAAATTTAAGTTATAAAAAGGAGAGGTTTTTATTGCCAAGAGCTGAGCCGGTGGACACTTGCCTGCTGGACATAACAGTCCCACAGCAAGAGGCCCTGATTAGCTGTAGGGACTTGCTTAAAAAAGGCTAAACCACATTGGGACTTTTCAAGTGTGCTAAACTGCAACATCCTGGAGGCTTAGGTACCTTTCAAGCAATGCAAGCGCGGTTCACAGAAGCGAAAAAAAAAGTTGTTAAAGAGTTTAACCTAACCAGCAAGTGCTGTTGCTAGTTTTCAGGAAGGGAACCTTTTAACTGTGCAAAGGCTGAGTACA